AAGAAGATTATCTTTGACTACTTTCAGAGGTTTGAGTATTTTGGAGTACGATAGAGTGTCATGGTCACCATGCAGCATTTGACAGTGACCATTTCCAAATAATTAATGTTGCCATGGCATCCCCCATATAAAGCCACAGTAAAGTTAATTATGTGCAGTGGCAACACTGTAATGATCTTGAAGATAACTGTTGGAGAAGCAGTATCTGTGAGGAATTAAAAGAGGACTTGGAGAAAATTGTGTTGCATTGTAAGTTAAAAAATGTGGTCACAGCTTTGCTACAAATACAAAATCAAGAATATTTCCCCTGTTTCTGATTTCCCTTTTACTTATAAAGGCAATTGTTTGCTTGATTCGAGGTAGGGAGGGACCAGTTAGGGAGTTTACAGGCTGTGTGATTGAACCCCTGAATTAGAGGGGTGGATTTGCTGTTGAGCATGAGGGCTGTGATGAGTGTATGTTATTAATTCAAGCATATTGCTTCTCAGTTCTGGGAGTGGGAGCATGCGTACAGTGGTGGTGGTGCCGAGGAGGCTGCCTAGCCCCCACAGTTTGCTGAATGGGGGAATCCAGAATGGGCTCAGTCTTTTGAGAGAGGCTATTACCCCTGAAGGATGCTGGCCAGTCCTACCTTTGTCACTGCATCACCTCTTGGGGACCTCAAAGTTCACCTGACCCAGCTAGCATCTGGGTTGGTGGTATCCTGCCATCCTGAGACTGTCCCGACGGAGAGGAGGGGGAGACGAGCATTGGCCCCCTCACCGTCTTCTGTTCCTCCCATCAACCTTCCCTGCCCCTTCGATGAAAAGGCGTCTTTTCTGCAGGGTGAGGTCTTGGAGAAAGGATGACCCAAGTGAGTGCTGGCAGCTGGCAGAATCTGGCAACAAACCAAGGTGGCCTTGGAGGGGATGTCCCACCATTGGGCCGGTGTCAGCCTCCTATGCGATTGGAAAGATTACAAAGACTTTTTTGGCAAAAGGGCTGTGAACTGACTGTGTATCTGGGGAGGTTTCCAGCTCTGTTTGCACTTATGCTGGCTTCCCTTGCTTTGCAGGCACTGTTTCACTACTCTGAAAAGTGACCCTATATATATAGCTGACTTAACTGTTCCTCATCAACCTTATTTTTCAAGCTTCTTCCCATCCCTTTCCCACTTCTTTATAGCTTGTCAGTGTATTTGTTGCAGTACAAAATCAAGAAGTCTTGAGTGAGTCAAGCCTGGGTGCCTATTCCCTTCCTCCTTTTTTATCCTGCATCCTTTAATGTTTGTGATTCTGCATGCTGTCTGTGATGGAGCAGCATCCCCTTATACAGTGTGATACAGAGCAGAGACCCTCTACTCCTGTTGGAATCCTCAAATCCTATTGGAGCGGCTGAGGGAACTGGGGTTGTTTAGCCTGGAGCAAAGGAGGCTGAGGGGAGACGTTCTTGCTCTCTACAACTACCTGGAAGGAGGTTGTAGCAAGGTGGGTGTTGGTCTCTTCTGCCAAGTAACAAGCAACAGGACAAGAGGAAATGGCCTCAAGTTGCGCCAGAGGAGGTTTAGATTGGATAGCAGGAAAAATTTCTTCACCAAAAGCGTTGTCAAACCTTGGGACAGGCTGACCAGGGAAGTGGTTGAGTCCCCATCCCTGGAGGTATTTAAAAGACAGGTAGATGTGGTGCTTAGGGACATGGTTTAGTGGTGGACTTGGCAGTGTTAGGTTAACGGTTGGGCTTGATCTTAAAGTTCTTTTCCAACCGAAATGATTGTATCATTCTGTGAATCAACACTGTGCAGTTAATGGTATGAAAGAGGACTTGTGAGCAAATGCAGTGCTGTGGTGGCCTAGGGTTGATTTCTGATGGATTTTTTTTTTTTTCCCCCCCAGTTTTCATTTTGAAATGCAACTGCACAGTCTGTCTGCTGTACCGTCTTCCCAGTTGGCTTTCTCCAGTGTTAAAAGTGATGCTGTGTTCTCCTATTCTGTACTTGCAGTTCCTGATCACTTTTGATCTGTCTCTTCACTGGTTTTTATCTGTACATGTTAAATCTCCTTTTCCTTAACTCATTCATCTCTCTGGCTTTTTGAAATGTTGCTATGCTTTCTCTTCTGAAGCATCCTCTGTTCCTTTCCCTTGCGTCACGCTCTTGTTTTATTAAACTTCCCAGTTTGATCATTATCCATTTTATTAGTAAACATATGACAATGGCAGCACCAGCAATGTCAAATTTTGCCATATACTTTCCTTTCCTATGTCCCATAAATCAGGGCTGTAACTCACTCACGATGGGTCCTTTTTGGGGTATAAAAAGGCAGTGGGTCGCTGGTAATGGCACTAAGTTGTGGTTTCTTGCTTTGTGGTACTTGGTCTAGATCATGTTTGGCCAGTGCCGCCCCACAGCCGTGCAGCTCAGGCACGCCTCTGCACCCGTGTCATTGCTGCAGCCTTGGTACAGCTGTAGCATCCCAGAACCCTTGGACCAAGACCCTTATCCCTCCCAGTTGATTGAGGAGTCCTAATTTGCTCACGCCCAATACCAGCAGTAATAAATGAGTCCCCTTCCTTGGCTTATAGCCGAGGTGAACTGATGTGCTTTTAGGGGACCAGAGCCAACTCATGGAGGAGTTACGTATGGAGAAGTAAGTAATTTCTGAACCCATGCCAGAGTAGAGATCTGGGCAGCCCTCACAGGATAGGTGAGGTAGGTCCTTGTTCCTCCTTCCTCCCTTGTGTGGGTGTGCAACTGAGGTCAAAATCTTGCCTTTTTTAAAGAGGAGATCATCAACTAGTGTTTTGCATGCACTGAGCCGGGCTGACGTCAGTGAAGCTCTGCCTGTTTCTGCCAGCACTGAGTTTGACCCATTTTATTCAGAGTGTATGTTACATACCTCAGTACAAATGATGAAGCAGTGACTTAACACAGGCAGTGATTCATAGTGGCAGACACCTCTGCAGTCCTCAGAGGATGTCTGGATCTTTCCATAGCTGCACTTTGCTGAAGAACCACCTCGTTTTCAGACCAGAGTCATCTGGAAACGGCCGGCTGAAGTAGAGAGGTTCAGCCTCTCTAGGCCAGAACCTCCCCCCACCTAACTTCTGAGCATGCTTTATCTATGCCGTATGTTAAAGGAGGGCACAGATGATCTCTAGCATCTCATGCTATGGGGATAACAAGTACCAAATGTTGCTGTAGCTCCTGTGTCAGAAATGTGCCATACGGTGTGAACGTGTTAAAGCCGCAATTGCTCCTGTAGATCTTGGTGTCACTGAGCTCAGCCCTGCCTATCTGTGCTGGTTTTGCTTTTTCTTTAAACTCGCTCAGAAACTACTGCAGAAAACCCAGCCTTGCTATGCGTTGCTTTCTTCATCTCTGTTGTAGGCATATTACTGGTGCAGAATCTGTTATTGCTGTTACAGTGTATTTATTGTGACCGAGTGTTGTGCATTAATCTTGCGGCACACTGTTGTCATGAAGCGCCATCCTTATTCCACAGGCATACCTTGTTTGAATTCTTAGGACATCAACTTCTTAGCAGTCAAAATCCAAACTGAGCATGTAGAATGAACAACAACAAAATACCTGTTGTCTTCCAGACTGGCCATAGCCCAGCACAACAGAGAGCAAGCTTGAGCTCAGATGCCAGTTTCAGTACTACGTCCTGCAAAAGCTTTCATCAAAGTACTTTGTATTTTCCATCTCACTTCCTTTCCTCTGTTGAAAGAGGAAGAGTCGTAGCTATTACTAGGCACTACTGCTTCTATATAAACAGCATATTTGCTGCATATTGCTGTTAAATATTAAGCAGTGTGATATATTTCATAAAGCTCTGATAAAGCATCTTGAAGAAGAAATTCAGATGATAATGATGTGCTGGTTATATTTTTCTTTTGGTTTGCTGCATTTTTTACCATATGAAATAGAAAAGAAATATTTGATGTGTGTTTGACTTTTTCACTTTTGATCTTTATTTTGTTTTTTATTCATAAGTAGCCCCTCGTTTTCTGACCTAGCATTTTTGGAGAATGAAAGTGATGTTTTTCCAAACAGTCCTTTATCCAAGTTCACACCAAAAGCGCTGTGGATTTGGACTCCACCCTGTGCCCCAGACACTCCTCAGCATGAAAGAAAAGCAAATCTGTCTTTTAATAAGATGAAACTGAGTTGGATAAACATCAGACTTGAATAGCGTGGCTCTCTCTGGAGCTGCAGATTCACATCTTGGCTAAATAACTCCTAGCCCTTCTTTCATTTGAAATGGATATCTTGAGCAGCTTACAGTTTGGGGATCTTTTGAATAAGACCTTAAAGAATGAAATCCCATCTGTTACGCAGAGCCAGCAAGGATTTGTGGTGTTTTGCCATGATTACTTGGCAAGATTGCCTTCTCCTGCCCGATCCCATAGTGCCCTGCTTGTCTGCAGGTAGCCCTGCTTGAGCAGGAGGGGTGGACCAGATGACCTACAGAGGCCCCTTCCAACCTCAGCCAGTCTGTGATTCTGTGACTTGCACTTCCTGCTCCCAAAAGGTTTCCCTTTTACTGGGGCTGAGCTGGTAAGATCCTTGAAGGCGTTTGGAGTGACATTGTTGTCTCTTTGTTGTATTGCCAATGATTACACATCCATTTGATGTAAGTTCAAAGCTCACTGAAGCCACTGAAACTTTTCAGAGATCAGGGGGACTGGATCACCTTGCCATGCAGAGACACAGCTTGGGATGAGAATGTGTTGTGCATTGCTTAAAGAGGGAAACAAAATCAAGTGAAAGCTGTGCTTTTTTGCCCATTTTTTTAATAAAATGTATAACTTGTCTCATGAAAGAGAGACCAAGGGCAATCTCCATTAGCTTGCATTAGCGTTTCCCATTCAGCATTTCCCTTGAAACACACAGGTCAAAGGAGAATGAGTATGTGCATGACCTTCATCCTGCAAAGATAGGGCAAAGTATTATTTTCCTAGGGACAGTGAGGTCTGTCCTCTGATTGTCCTCTGAGGGAGTTTATTTCTCACATCCACAGAATCGACGACTGTTTTTGTGCGTCTCGAAAACTGGATGCAGTTGCCACTGAAGCGAAGTTTAAGCAGGACCTCGGTTTCCGGATGCTCAACTGTGGCCGAACGGATCTGGTTAAACAAGCCATTTCCTTGCTGGGGCCGGATGGGATTAACAGCATGAGTGAACAGGTAACGAAATAGAAATGTAAGGAAGCAACTGTGAAATGTGAGAGTTTTGCCTACTTACCACAGAAAACGAGCCCAAGCTTTCAGATAAACATAGACAGGCATTACTTTGAGTTGAGTTAAAGCACCACCAGGTGAACATCTATGTTGTTTGGTGGTTTTGAGTTGTATTGGTTTGTTGGTAACTCAGCATGAGGTCGAATCCCCTTAAGTCGTCTTAACAGTGGGCTGAGTCAGCTGAAGCCAGAAGATGATCTTAGTATGAGTCCGAATACTTAAAGCTGCTTTAATGCCATGAACAGTGGTGTGGGGCAAGGCCTTGTGAGGTGACCGTCCTTCCCCTGAGTGCTGCCCTGGGGTCTGCAGTGCATGTCACGTGCCCTGCCAAACCCCATCAGGAAACAGTTAATCACTGGCAGTCTTTAATTGAGTTGAGCCCAGTTTGAACTGGCCTCAGAGGGGAAAGTCTCCTTGCAATGTTACCACTCCATTAGTCATTGTGGCCAACATCCACCAACTGAGAAGCCTAAATTTCCCTGGAGTTACAGCTCCATGAGGCTGGTGGTTGTGTCCGGGGATAAACCTGCCTCCATGGCTGCCTACTGGCAGCAGTCTGTTGGACTGTGATGCTCACCATGGTGGTTCCCCCCCTTCCCAGCAGGAAATGATGGCCATGGATATTACCATTTCCTTTTGAAATTGAGTTCCCTGAATTTTCTGGTGCCCCTGATGAAAGTGTCACTGCACATTCCCAGAGCTGTGACATCCCCTTTGGCAAGAAGCAGATGGCTGCCAGCCCTGAGGTGGTCGCTTGGGACAGGAGCTGGGTTGTAAGTGGGTTTAGGTCCTCTGAGATGAAGGCTTCTCTGGGAATGTGAGTTATGTTGCTTCAGTCTGAGTCAGTATTGTGAATTTGTTTGAGAAGAGCTTTAGAAGAAAACAGTACTCCTCCCCAAAAAATTGTATCGGAGAGCTCATTCCAAGGTTCATACATGATACTTCTTAAAATTTTTACTATTTTAAGTTAGTCTGAACCTGGAAACTTTTCACAGCATATTTCTTCTGTCATCCAGGCTGAAACCTGGGAACATTCTGGCTTGATTCATCAAAGTACCTAATCATACGATTAACTCTGAACACATGCTCACATCCTATTTGAGTGAAAGTTAAGCCTATGCTTAAATGCTTTGCTGGATCAAACATCCCACATCTTGTAGGATCTCACATCTTGCAGGACAGAGCCCTAAGTGATACAAGGCTGAAAGAAAAAGGGCCTTTTTTTATTTTGCCAAAAGCCAAATGCCCTTAGTGTTGATTGTACATGTTGTTACCGTGTTCCTTGTGTGTGTTGAACACTAATGATGGGCTTATTAAAAATCCATTCCTCCCATGTGCAAAGAGAGGGGGCTGAGTGATGCTGCAGTGCAAGGCTGGGGGACTGGCAGAGGCAAAAGCGTGAGGGACAGCAGTGGGAGGGGAGGTGAGGTTAGAAACCTCATTAGCTCTTTAAAGCCCCAGTACTGCAGCATGACCTTCTGGGCCCGTTTTAGTCAGCGGTAACTCCTTCTTCAGCTTCAGCAGGGCCAAAATTCCCGTGTGGTCCCCAGGCAGACCCTTTGCTCCAGGCATGGCTGTGGGGTTCTTTGCCATGGCTGCCCGCGTGCTGCGTTCTTGCAGGGGGGAGCCTCAGCATGGGGCTTTTAAATTCTTTTCTTCAGAGCTGATTAGACCCCATGTGCTAAACACTTGATTTAATAATCAAATAACACCACTTAGGGGAATTGAAATAATAGTTGAAAGAACATGTATTTAATTTTAAGCTGCCATCCCGTCCCCGTGTTTCAAGGCCCAAACACAATAATTTTTCTCATGGTCCTGTTTGTTCCTGTAGTTATTGACTGCCAAAGGAAATGTTTTGCCACTGACTGTAGCTGAAGTAGTTTCAAATTCTCTTTACAAGTAACTTCAAGTCACCCAAGAACTCTCCTTGCCTGGAGTGAACTTGGGTTTTTCTTACTAATGGCACGAGGCCCCAGATGCCTATTCCCTTACTCTGTATCTCCATAAGTACACTGCGGATCTGAGCCTGTGAAATGCTCACTGTGTTTCAAGGGGGCTTTAAGCACGTTGCAGGGACAAACCTTAATTTATGTTTTCTCTGCAAGGACAGCCCTTCCATACTTAAGCCCCCACTACCTTTAGCCCTCCATGCAAAGAGGAGAAATGGGGTAGTTCAGCAAAAATAGTGATGC